TATATATACATATGTATGTATGTATGTATGTATGTATATATATATGTGTATATATATGTATATATATATATATATATATACATATGTATGTATGTATATATATATGTGTATATATATGTATATATATATATATATACATATGTATGTATGTATGTATGTATATATATATGTGTATATATATGTATGTGTGTTTATAGTTCAATTAATAATAGAAAGCTATTACAGCTTGTTTTTTATTGATCTTTCACATAACATTAACATTATATATGAGGGGGTCCTCATATACATACAAATAAAGAAGAAAAAAAGACTGAGAACCTCTGCTGTAATGAGCTTGGAGTTGAGAGCCACAGACAGGGTAGAAAGATGGACATAAAAATATAGAATAACACCAGCATCATCCTTTTTAATTAAGAAAAAAAACTGTGGATATAGATTTAAAGATTTCATCTTTAACTCTTTCTTGACAGGTGCTGTCTGGAGGAGTTGCAAGCAATCAGTATATCCGCAAGGCATTGACCATTATCACCGACGCAACAGGACTACGCCTGCTCTGTCCACCGGCCAAATTCTGCACTGACAATGGAGTGATGATTGCTTGGTGTGTCTATTGATTTTCAGTGAATGGGATTGGCTGTAGAGTTGTGTCCGTCTGAGACAAAACTCACTTTTCTCTTTGTTAAACAGGAACGGGGTGGAACGCCTGAGAGAGGGGAAAGGGATACTTCCTCCAGATGTGGATGTCTCCTATGAGCCAAAGTAAGTCAACACTGAACCGAAGATTTCATTTGTAATCTCAGTGGAGATTATTAGAGGTACAGATTTTACCATTCGCTCACATACATGTTGTATTCCAGGGCACGGCTGGGTGTTGACATGACAGCAGAGGTGAAGGCAGCAGCGATCCGGTTGCCGTCAGTCAGGATGAAGATCTCCAGATGACAGACTGTTTGTCTTATTTGTCACTCCGAGATTTTCACAGTTCAAGAGTATATAGTGTGTTTATACTATATAATAAACATTTTATACATCTCAATTGATTTGTTTTGATTTGAATACTCCTTACAAAACTACTGAATTTTTTGGGAGGTTTTCTGTGACTGGATTTTTAAATAATATCGCCGTCATTCTTGTCATTACAAAAAATGAGTTCAGCTTATTGTGAGCGAGCGACCAATAAATATGCTAAACTAATTGTATAAAGATTTGTCTGTAGATCTTTTTGCTGTATGCATGCACTTATATTTGATTATATGTTGCACAGAATGCATTTTCTTGCCACTTGAAAACTGAGAGCAGCCTACATTTCAAGAAAGAAACAAGTATTCACTGTCTTTTGTATGTAAATCCAATCTGCCCTCACTTAGAACATTTTAACAACAAAATGGATCTTAGGATAAACAGCTGTTAATGACCTTGAGTAAACCCCATTCAATTCTGTCAAACCACTGTACTCTACAGCAGATACCATTTAATTCCCATTGAGGCATATACTTGGTTGTTATTGGCTAAGCCAACTAGACCCTCTAGTGGTTAGTTTATGTAAATGCACCTCAGCACACTGGAGAGGAATCGCTACAATAATTGACCTGATGACAAATCAAAATGATTTTCTTAAGGAACATATACATCATACATATACAGAGAAAGTAATTAATTTCAGGTCAGAAAAACATCACACTAACACAGATTTGTCTTTTCTAATCTTAGTAAAAAGCCCATGAATGGTTTCAACCACTGAGATAAATATCAATCACTTGTAGCATACTATATTTTTTCTGCATACACTATGGTTTATTTCTTGTGTTGCTAAAAACAACTATTGTTCAACTGGATACAATGGTAGTCACTATTTCGACCACATTAAGATGTAACATGTCTGACAAACCACAACATTTAATCATCAAACTGGTCAAACACAGCCCACAAATACTGGCTTGTTTGTGTTGGACATCCTATCTGGGTAAGAGAAGAACAGACATCCGTTCAACAAACCCAACTCTATGGATCCGTGCACTGGTGTGATATAGCAGAGCAAACTCACAGGAAGGATGGGACGATTTCAGCTCCTTTCAAATCTCATATGATAGTCACGTTACAGTTTCAATGCCAACCATTTCACACCATTGTGCAACATTCTGGTTTCTTCTTTGTGCTGCAATGTTCATCGGGACACAAGACTTTAAAAAATATATATTTCAAATGCGAAATTTAGTGGCATTGGCATAAAAATGTACACGTGTTGGAGATATTCTTGCATAGTTTAATACTTGGTATTACAAGTTAGTGGCTAGTTTGCTGGCTTGGAAAGATGTCTCAGTGGCTCCAAACACCTAAATGCAGCTACTGCCAGTCTGCTTTTTAAAAAAGAAAAATCCACCTGGGAACAGCAAGGGCTGATTCCTCAGCATTTTAGATCTCATTTAGGTGTTTCATGTTTTCAGATTATTCTAGTGGACAACTGGTCAAACATGGATAAAGTGGTGTCTCATTGTCATTTTTACTGCTATAATATTTTCACAGAAAAAAAAAAAAAAAAAGAACATCTGCATTGTGAAAAACATCTGAGGGTGGATTTATTCCTTTACCTATTCTTGTTTTCTCTCTAATTGATCAAAGTACATTATCTCAAAATAATTCCCAAGATCCACGACTTCCAACACTAGAGCTCATCGTGTTCATATATATTATACTCCTTGGCACTGATCAGTCCGTCGCTGTCCTGGTCACTCTTGCGGAATATATCAGCCATGATCTTCTCATAGAATGGGTCATCACGTGGCTTCCCAGATTTTTCATACTCCACTTTCAAGTATGCTTTTACCTGTAAAGAAAATCACTTTGTAATCAGTAACAGACATTTATTGTACTTTTACAACAATGTTATCATATAATGAGCAACTGTTGTGCCTCACAAGCAACATATCATATTGGTGATAATTCAAACATTCATTCATTCATTCATTATCCAAACCACTTATCCTGTTCAGGGTCGCGGGGCGCTGGAGCCGATCCCAGCTGACATTGGGCGAAGGCAGGGTACACCTTGGACAGGTCGCCAGTTCATCGCAGGGCACATATAGAGACAGACAAACACTCACACCTACGGGCAATTTCAAGTCTCCAAATAACCTGAGCTGCATGTCTTTGGACTGTGGGAGGAAGCCCACGCTGCAACAGGGAGAACATGCAAACTCCACACAGAAGGACCACCCGGGATCGGGGATCGAACCCGGGCCCCTCTTGCTGTGAGGTGATAGTGCTAGCCACTACACCACCGTGCAGCCGATAATTCAAACAGTAAATGGTATTGATAGCAGGTCCTTCACGTCTTATTTTAATGTGCCGTCAACAATCCAGATAACGTCAGTTTAAGCTTTCTTTACATTTGGTTATCATAACGATAATTACTGTAATTCTGGGGTTGAGCAAACATTTTGGTCCCTTTAAAATGGGCTTCCTTGGTGGTTTGCAGTACTAATGTCCTTTATTTAGTTTTTGCACTACTGTAAAGAATTACTGTGAGCAAAAGCTGTAAATGAATTAAAGGTAAAGTGATTTATAGCCTCACAACCTTCTAGTACTATCCATGGATATTTATGATGTGAGATAATGAGATCAGAAACAAGCGTGGCCTTCAGTCTTACTGAGGCGAGGTTACTTTGGGTTGGAATGTTTTATTCTTTATAAGCGGTTTGGAAAGCCTGCGATTACAAAATAAAGTAAAAATGTGAAATCAAGTTTAAATGAAGGTTCACTGGGATGGGAAACACATTTGTAGTTTTGTTTTGTGCTAATTTCATCTGTTTAAAAAATACCCACTACTAAATGACAATGTAAGGACAGTACAAAAAAATACACTTATTTACTTACTTTCTGAGAATGAGATGACATGATTTATACAACAAGTCTGTGTGTCGAGTATGAAGCTTTAGCCAGAAGCTATTAGCTAACTTTAGCTTAGCCTAGCATAAAGACTGTTAGCAAGGGGAAACAGCTAGTGTAGCTCTCTGCAAAGTTCAACGATACGCCGTTAAAGCTCACTTATATCATATTTGTTTAAACAGTACATGAACAGAAATGTAAAAACTATTTCTTGGCTAAGCTAATCAACTCCCAGCTGTAGCTCCATACTTAATGCACAAACATGAACGGTATCAATGAGTGGTATTAACCTGCTCATCTATCTTGTGGGGAAAATAAATAATCAGCGTATTGGCCAAAATGTTGCGTCCCGTATTTTCATTTTTTAAATGATTTGTAATATTCTGACCTGGATAAAAACATTTCAGACTCCAACCTTACTTACTAAGTAACTTAAATAGGAATGAACAGAGCCCCACTTCCAACTCTGTATCCAGTTGTCTTTATACATCCACACTCCCTTCTCCTTATAACCTCTGTAATCTGAATACCACAGTGTGCTGTGCTTCATCACAGGTGATACATTTCTCATCCACCATTGCATCTTATATGAAAATGGTGGGGTTTTCAAACAGAAGAGAACAGCTTTGTATGTTGTTAATTTACAAGACTGGCTGTAATGTCTTTTATGCCTAGTTACCTCTGCTCTCCGGTGACATTTGATTACAGTATCACAGGTATCATCCTGAATGGAAAACATGTACACACACTGCACAGGAAGAGTAACCGGTGTTTAAAAGAGGCCTAGCAGCTCATTTTTGCCCCGTGGGGCCCCCTAGCATGTTAATCCAACTGCGGTTATTGCCTTTTCTGTCTGAGCTACCTTTGTGATAATTACCAGCTTGTGAATAAAGATTACCTCAGCCTTTGTGAGACTTCTGTCTCTATCAAGGTCCATCTGTCCGAAAGCCTCCATGCTGCGTGGTCCCCTGGAAACAGAGTAGACCTCCACCTCAAAGACCACCGTAGCATTGGGCGGCACAGGATCTATTCCATCAGGAGGAAATAACAGCACGTCAAGATTCTAATAAGACCACAAGCAATGATAATGCCATAATCATTAGTTACTGATCATTTTCATCATGCCCTAACGCAGGGGTCTCCAACAAGTAGCTCGTGAGCTGCCAGTGGCTCGCTACCCGTTTCTGAGTTGCTTGTTAAAAGGTTGAAGAATATGTAGATTCAAAGTCACTTTCAACACGTTTTAATGTCTATGCAATCAAATTCACAGACATCCCGCACGATCAGCCATCGATTAAACAAGTAACGCTGTAGTATTAGCATTACTATTAATATTACCGATACCATTAACGCACATTAGTGACTTTGCTTCTTCCCCGGAGTCTTTGTGCTTTCTTGCTTCGCAGGTTTCTGTGGATCTTGGTTATATCTGGACTGTGGTCTTGCCTCCTGCCGTGGTCCTACCTGACCCTTACTTACTAACTTACTACCCTCTTAAATGAATAATTTGTCATATGCATTGAATGTGTTGTAACTCTGTTATGTTGTTCATTCTGTACACATGACATCTATTGCACTTCTATCCATCCTGGGAGAGGGATCCCTCCTCTGTTGCTCTCCCTGAGGTTTCTTCCTTTTTTTCTCCCCAGGTTTTTTGGGAGAGTTTTTCCTGTTCCGATGTGAGGGTCCCGGGACAGAGGATGCCGTGGGTGTACAGATTGTAAAGCCCTCTGAGGCAAATTTGTGATTTTGGGCTATACAAAATAAATTGAATTGAATTACATCAGTGACACCGTGAACATTAGGCGATGTTAGCACACCAGATTTGACAATGATTGCAGAAAATAGCCAGACCACTGAAAGGCAAATATTATACTATTTTCATGAGGAATGGATAATAGAGTGTTTGTTTTTTCCACGAATGTGAATGACAAATGTCTGCTATTGGTGATGAACAACTTGGTGCTATGAGAAGCTCTCGGACACTTTTATTTTGTCAAATTAGCTCTCAGAGGAAAAGAAGGTTGGAGACCCCTGCTCTACCGTGTAGGGTGGTGTTGTGAAGTTGGTTTGACAACATTTCAGGAGGGATGGGAGTTGTGTTTTACTGTGTTTATCTGGTTAGTGCTTCTACTACATATTCAGATTTTGTGGTGAACTGAACAAAACAGCCACTAACTACATAAATGAATTAATCTTAACGTAGTGCTGATTTGGCATCAAGAGCTAAAGTCATTATGATAATGTAAAGGCCAATAAGCGATATGACATTAATTCAGCAAGAAAAGACAAATAATGTCAGTAGAGCAACATGCAATTAAAGCCGTTCATCTTTACTGGTGGTCCCATTGCAGCTGAACAACAGAGGTTTTTAACTCTCAGCCCAGGAGAGCGTTACATGCGTGTATATGTAAAGCAGACTAATGCCGGGATAACTAAAGCATGCACTCTTCAGCAAAGCAATTTCCTCCGTAGCCAAACAGTGAAATCAACGGATGAAACCTGAAATGCAGATCCCCAGGCTGTGCAACACAACAGTCAGATCACAGCATACTGCATTCATGAACAACATGAAGAGGTTTGTAGGACATTGTAGTTAAAGGTGAAACACTTATCGGCTGTTAGTTTTTATGACAGTGCTACGATGCATGCAAGAAAGAGCGAGAAGAAGTAGAGACCTTTAAACCGTTGTGCATGCTGACAGTACATGCCACAGGGAGGGATGAGTAGCAAACACTGCGAGGGGATGTGATGCCCTTCCAACTAAAGTGCTGTGAAAGAACACAAGACAGCATGATGGCAGCTCCTCCAGCAGAGACAATACTAACATAATAATCACTTTAAAGTATTTATTGTTTTTAACTCATTAATCACATCATATGCATACCACTGCTGCCCATTTTCATCGATTTCCAATGTTCCCTCCAGCCACAGACATGCATTCATTTCACTAAGACATTCAGTTGCAAACATAAAAGTTGCAGAAAACAGGTGATCCATCAGCATGTGGACAAAAACATGTTTGTTACACGTTTTAATTGCGTGGTAATGTAACCTTTTGGTACTTATTTAAAAAAAAAGCACTCACAACTCATCACATGGAGTGAAGAAAACGTATCCTGTGGCTCTGGAGGAGCTTTCTCAAGTCAATGGCATAACCCTGGTGATGTCATAGTGATGTAATCAGGGTTTTCTTGGCTCGTGCTTGGGGAACTCAAAATTTATGACATTACAAACTGAGGCTGTGGAGTTTGAAAGACATGGATGTTCACCAGGCATTGAGTGTCTAAAAGACTCTATCAAGTTGCATTATGGGAAGTGTAGGATCCAGTGTTCTTAGAGTGTGTAAATCTATGGTTTAGTATTGTATTGCTCATGATGTTCTGCCCAGAGCGGAAAAATGACAAAATCTACGGTTTAGCGATGGGCAACGTAAACCCTGTGCTGACACTTGCAAAAATCACTGTGTATTGCATTTACTTACCTTTGCCTGTTGCTCCAAAGGCCAGGACCGACGGAATAGTTATTTTTCGTTTCTCTCCAGGACACATGTCTTCCATCCCTTTATCAAGGCCCTTAATGACTTGTCCGACGCCCAGCACGAACCACTGAGGGTGCCCAGCTTTGTCTGATCGACTAAAGCAAACACAGTAGAAAAAGAGACAACATCCTGTCAATCAATCAGCCTTTACATCTATAGAATTATTATATTTTTGGTTAAGGACTGCACTATTACAGTGGGGGTTTTATTATATGTAGGATTCAGCCCCCCTCCTTACCACAATTACTCTTTGTACTGTCCCCTATGACCATAGATCCAAGTAAGGACTGATGAAATTATATATGCAGGTTTAACTACAATTCCCAGTGTTTACCCAACCTTACCTTTATTTAGGTCACACTGACATAAGAATATACATTTTTGCAAAACACATAAAAGGAAACCTTTGCATACCATGCAATGTGAAACCTGTAGTGAAATACGCATCACTCCCTTCAGATATGAAAGCTACATAATAACAATATTAATAATGATAATAAAGTGCCTGCCAATTTGCACGTGGACTTTCCCAGGCTCATTTGACTTGTAGAGATAATATCTATTAACTGCAGCTAACTTTTTCTCAAACCACCAACCTGCAGTAGAACTGAGAGCCATCTTGGGCGAGGAACCCATCGTAGTGGACGTTCATCAGATCTCCTCTTTTACTCTTTTGAGTGCACTCCTCGGGCTTGAACAGGATTTCAATCTGGACCTCGCCATCCAGCTCAGCTGATGTCGCCAAAACACACCATAAACTGAGCTGTGAAAAAACGAAGAGGCACAGTGTGCAGCTCACCGACCTCCACATCATGCCGCTGTCTGTGTATGCGTGGCAACTTCTGGGAGTAAAGTTTGAACACACCGGAGGACGTGGAGAGCTGCTGCTACGAAGGTCTTTAGTGCCCTGAATTTTGACTGTCAGGGATTTCTGCCTCCTCGTTCCTTAAGTCCCACTTCCTTCACTATAATTGGCCCAAACTCTGGCCCTGGCCCTCCTTTAGCGATCGCTCATTGGGCTACGGAACCTTGCTTGTGGCTTGCAGCCTGACAGACTAAACTAAGAGCAACAATAACACGCTTATTATTCAATTGCATGCCAAACAACTTTATATGACTGTATATTGTATATGGAATGAATATATCAATAACTAGAAGTGAAATATATATAGAAATATATAGAATAGTGAAATATGCTAAAATGTGAAAAACACTACAGGTAAAGATTATGCATACATATAACTGCTAAACTAAAACTGTAAAATACTTCCGCATCAAGTCTGAGATTCATTTTCATCACATATGCATACGAGTTTATAATATAAAACCTTATAAAAGTAAGAGCAGGTTCCGGTACAGTACAGTAAAACGTAATGTCAGGGACTATAGAAGTACATGGAACAAAAGTTAGGCTATATGAAAAATGAAACATTGATCACGAGCCAGATTTGAGTTCCGTCTTTACTGGCAACAGTGGTGGCATCTTCAACTACACTATGGTGTGACGAGATTAAATGGTCTCCAGTTTTGAGGACTGACAATTTAAAAAGATGGATGTATAAAAAATAAGTTAAAGTTGAGTATTTGGTAGGTGGGCTATCACAGAAAGATATGTATTACAAATGATCTTGTAAATCAAAACGTAGCAAAGGTTATTGTTGCAACATCAGTACTATTTTTTATGAGTTTTTTTCACAAAATAATGTGAAAGCATGTAACTAAGCATGTAACTTACATATAAATCTCTCTATATACATCATTTAAATTAATAGCTGAGACAGGATCACATTATACAGGCAACATTTTGTAAAAGCTTTGTCATTAAAGAAAGTCAAAGTTATTTGTTGACTTTCGTGACCTGCAAAATTATATTTTAAATGACCAAACATGTGTAATTCACGGCACAATTTATACAAATATATATTTATTTCTCACCATTGAGTACAAATTATTTTATTTTTTTCAGAAATAAGACATTTTGTGTCTCTTTGCAGTTGTTCTGCCCCTTTTTTTCTCGTCTTTGAGGTCTCTGTATGTCTTTGCAGCTGTTTTACGCGTCTTAGTTGGTCTCTTTGTAGTCTTTGTAGTCTTTTTATGCTACTTTGTGGTCATGTTGAGTCTCTTCTTGGCACCGTCACTGTGAGAATTGGGCACCTGAGCCTGGGGGCCCGTTCAGCAATCCATCCATGGTTATGGTGTTATTATAAGTGTATTACCTGCAGCAACAGACAGGAGCACCAGCACGGGAACAAATACGTGTTCTACTACTGTGGGGGGCAGCAGCAAAACGTATTTTAGAAACCTAAAATAAAGGCCAAATCTTAAAAAAAAAGAAAAAAATCAATATCAGATTAAGTCTTACGCTATATTTAGAATATATTCTCATGGGTAACTGAACTGAAAGTAAAACTATCTATAATATGTTTGTCAACAGAGTCCTGTGGCTTTGAAGATAGCATAGATGAGTTTTACTTTCTGTTTCACAATTATTGGAATTGCAATACATTCCTTTGGTCCCGTGCTGGTACTCCTGCCATGCAAAGAGATTCAACTACCCTACTGCGAAAAAAACAAAACATAACAGGACTTGACAGACACGAAGACACTCCAATCGCAAACTTGAAAGTGCCATTAGCTATCTTTGGTCAATTCCACCAATAGGAGCCACGGGGGCGTGAACGTGCGCCTCTATGTATTTTTGGACGCCGGTGTTTCTGAGTCATCGCACCTCAGTCAGTCAACGTGGTAGCAGACGCAACGGCCGTGTAGTTGCTACCGGATATATTTGGAACCACGACTTTCTCTCCAACAGCCCGACAGGATTGAGATGTTACATTTTAGGTGTTCGACAGTGCTGAAGGAGTTGTTTGAAGCCACCCTCAAGCGTCCTCTGTCCGGCTCCAGACGGAAGCCCTGGTCGCCGATCCGCCACCGCTGCTTCGGCGCCGCCTCCGTTGATGCCAGAGCCGTCTCCACTCCACTGAAGGTCCTCTATGCCGCCGCGCCCCGCGCCGCCTTGTTCCGCTCGTACTGCACGAAAACGGAAGGCGCAGTGGAGCTGGAAGAGCGGCTGAAGAAGGATGGCGTCAGCAGCGAAGAATCCAGCGAGAAGTAGGTTTCAAGCACTTCCCCGGGGAACACATTACTGTGTGGCACACTACGGCCGACGTAGGATGCATGGCGAGTAGTGACGCATGCGGATGTGCGTTACGCTGTCCGCCAGCGGTTACAGACGCAGTTAAAACCGCGTTAAATAGCGCTCAGTAACTAGCCAACATAACATCGTACACTTTAAAATACTATACGGATGTATTGCCTATAGACAAGACAAGCTCACCCAAAACACACGTATGATATACAAGAACACAGCTTACCATCTGCAGCGAGCACACTATGTATGTGACTTGAACACTGGGTGCAGCCTCCGATGGCTCGGTGCCAAGAAGCTTTATAAATACGGCGCCAGCAACTTAACTTAAAGTCAATTAGGATTTATTTATTTCACCTTAACGGGTTTGTATGTGACGTTTGGTTTGCTCCTGTTGGAGACCGCTCGGTGCGGGCAGGTTTCAAAGCGAGGCGGCGGGGGATCCCCGTGACAAGGTCAGAGAAATGTGGAGGATAATAACACCAGCTCGTGGACGAGATACGAGATAGATAATATTTTTTATTTCTCACTTTTTTTAGTTTTTGTAATAATCATTGCTGCGTGAATTTGATTTGTGGCTTTTACAGTGACCTCCCACTCTCCTTCGTGAAGGGATGTGGGTCACAGTTTGAGGGCTGCTCCAGGCTACTGACAATACCCTTCTGTCCCGTCCACAGTAGGCTGATAGAAAGTGGAAAACAAGAAAACCCCATTTAAGTCTGTGTGTGGCTTCAACTGCTTCATGTGACAGTAACACGTAGAACATATATATATACTATTACAATTGTAATGTTTAATTGTCCACAGTTGTAGTGTTTCCAATTAAAATGCATGCCAACCGTGTGTGCATAGTTGCTCTTATCATTCCCTGACTTGTGTCTTTTTTTTATGTCTGGAGAAGCATTGCCACGTCCATATAGGGCTGTAGACATGAAGCCTAAGCCGCCTTGTCTCATAAGGGACTGCTCCTTGTCCAAATTGTGCCATTTGTCCAAGTCTATGCAGTTGTCTCGCTGTTTAACAGTAATTTCAGTCCTAACTGCCTTTGCCATTTGTAATTATAGAATAACGCACTTGTACAAGACTGAAGATAACAACATGAAGCTCAAAGCAGTTTCTAAGTATTGTACAATAACAACTTTTACCTTTCAGAATATATATATCTACAAAATACCAGAACTTTTACCAGATTTGAAGTGATAGTTTGTCTCAATGTAAATACAATATGTCAAGGTATTATATTTATGGAGTTGTAATTGTCACAGTTCAGCTCCACACCCTCCTCACTCTTATTGTCAGTCACTCCCTCCTCATTAGTCTAAACTCCCTTCACCTGTTCACTCACCTGCCTCTGATCAGTAATCAAGCCCCTATATAGACTCCTGCCTCCCAGACACATTTGCCAGATTGTTCTTCGGTTCTATGCCAGACTCTCCAGCACACTCTCACGGACTGATCGCCTGTTACCGATCCTGCCTGGCCCTGTTCTACCCGCCTTGCCTGACTCCCGATAAACCCACCCGCCTTCTGATCCTGATCTTGATTAACTCTGCCTGCCGTATCTGGAAACCCTGCCTGCCCCTGTTTTACCCGCCTTGCCTGACTCTGTTTTACCCGCCTTGCCTGACTCCTGGTAAACCCACCAGCCTTCTGATCCTGACCCTGTTTGAACTCTGCCTGCTATATTTGAAGTTAGCAATAGAAGCCAAAGATCTCTGGAATCCTGTGTTGCATTTGGGTCCATATACAACCCGTTACAGTAATGGTATATACAGAGCTAAAAGGTATAGATCAGATTATTTGAAGTGAGGTTGAGTGAGCTACTTTGACATAATCGGTGTATTACTTACAGTAGATGTCGGGAGCACCAGCCCTGGAGCAAAACAATGTACTGCTGTGGACAGGGGCAGCAACAACACATTATCAGTTTAAGTATACACTATATTTAGAATATTTTCTGATGGGGAACTGAACTGGGAATAAAACGTACACCGGTTTTGGCAACAGTCTTGCAGCGTTGAAGAGAGCACAGGTTCGTTAGCACAGGTTCGTTATCACTCTCAGTATGCTCTCTTCAGTGCTACAAGGACCACAAAAACAGTTGCCAAGAATGCCACAATGTTTCAGTTCAGTGGGAAAGGGACGATAAAGCGGTAAAATGTTCTTGATGGCGCAACCTTAAACTAATATTGGGTTTTTTTTATTTATTTTTTTATTCATTTTTTTTTTTTTTTAAGGTGGGGCCTTTCTTGTTGGTGTCTAAAATACTTTTTTGTTGCTGCCCCCGTCCGCAGTAGTACATTGGTTTGCTCTGTTTGTCTAAACTGGGGGGCGAGCCTTCCACCATCTACTGTAGACAATACACCGACTATAAGTACCTCATACAACCCCACTTCAAGTCACCCGTTTATCCCTTAAGAGTGAGCTGCAATCTCCCATATCGTGACACTACGGTAGAGCATGTTCCCAAAAAAAACCTAGTACTGATTTTAAAGTCAGCCGTCCAGATACACGAGTAAACAAAGCTCTTGATTCAGATTTATAGCGTCAATCCTGTTTTGTTGGCAATTTCAAAATTGCCCCGTTCAATTTTCCTTATGTCGGGCATTAAATGAATACTTATTTCTCACATTCCGTGCAGCCAGCTGGCAGCTGTACAGTGACTCCAGTCCATGTATTCCCCTTCTGCCTGAAGTGGACCGCCTGAATGTGTGCGCACAGAGGCACAGGACGACAGTGTCCATGGAAACTTACCGTACTCAGAGGTCCGTCCTGTGATTCATATTTTATGGGTCAGCAGCACAAAAAAAAGAAGTGTTGATGCACGAGATGGGGATGCCGTGTCGATGAGGCCTCACAAGATAAATCTCAGAAGGAAATGCAGTTTATGCATTGAGAAATCAATCGCGATACAGCGTTTTATTGTTGTTCCCTTCCGAGAGCCTCACAGGCGTGTTGTACAGCATAAGTGTACATCTATTTGTGCGATCAGTTACAGCTTTAGTGGGTTGAGGTGGATTAGATTAAGATATCAAAAACGGAACAGACAAATGACTGTTGTGAAACACATGACAGAGTTTGAAAGTGAAAGACACACTTGGTGTTAAGCTCACACACACACACACACACACACAGACTTAGGGAAGTGTGTTAAGTCACTGATATGACCATGGATATCGCCACACTCTCAGGCCAGATAACTGAATATTCATTTACAGTTAGCTTTTTGATGTTAAGATGACTAGACCCCTGACATGGGGTGAATTGAACACTAAATGCTGTGTGAATACTACAATACTGGCCATCAATACTGCGCTCTAAATCCTCCAGAGCAAAACATACACTTCAAAATCACAGCGCAATCTTTACCTAGTATCCAGGAAACTCTCAAAGTGCTCCGTTTACACCCAATGAGCAGCCATCCAGAGGCAAATGGACTGAGCCATCTGCCTGTAAAGAGGATTTTTAAATGTACCAGTGGAGAGAAACGAGATGTTTTTAGGTTGTATTCACACCCGATTGTTCTGCAGTTTTGGTCATTAAAGCCGCCGTCTCAACCAAGCAGTTTGCTTCATTACACATTAGAACAGTTATAGTCTCTCATATATATATATATATATATATATACCGCCCCAGTAGCGCTTCCAAGCGAGCTGAGTCGATACTAAAAGGCGAAGTTAAAACACTGCAGGCCACTGATTGGTCGGGGAAACCTCACAGATAAACAAAACCTACAAAGCAGGTGAGTCCACAAACAACCAATCCAACAGGCAAAACATCACGAAACGGGTAAATCAGACAAGTGCACAAGGGATATTAACAGGAACATTACAGAATAACTGACACAGGAGAGCACAGGGTTTGAATACACCGGGGAGGTGCAGGTGATTAGACACAGGTGGATTCAATCAGGCACGGGCAGACAATCACAGTGGTGGGAAAACGTACAAAGGCAGGAAGTGAAGTGATCATCAAACCGGAAATACTGAAATGACAAAAATATAGAAACTCAACTAGGGAGGACAGGAGGAGACATGACAAACACAGCCGCTGCATAGGGGGGAAAAAAAGGAGGGAAGACCACAAAGACAGGAAGTGAATCAAACACGGGACACAAGAGGCTGGGAACTTCAAAATATAACCGGAAACAATCTAAACCAAGATATTGACAAGTTTAGTCCAGTGTCTGCTGGTGACAACTGAGAGTTTCCACCATCCACAAGATTATGTGATATGCATACGTGGCACCTGTTAATTCCGCCATCTGCCCCATCTTGTTGCAATAAGCTGTCTGTCGGTATTTATGACCAATGAAGTTCAGTTTCAGCATGTCTATTATAAATAGGCATTTTTGTGTAAGCTCTTGCCGACTTGCCTGTGGCTTCTTTTATTGTTTGTGGGTTTGTTTTCCCGTCAGATTCTGTGGAGCACTGATGTTGCACGAAAGGCCACTAAAACTGCCCAGATGATGGGTTACTAGAGTTAAAGAAGTTACCTAAAATGATTAGAACTAAAGGCCAACAGTGGGTCAGTGTCTGTTTTAGGCCTGGTGGGCAACTTGACCACAGATATGAATGCTGCCATATACTGTAGCACTGATGATACGTAATGACAGCGTGCCTTGGCAGACATTAACACTAAGCATCCGCATGTTGCATTAATGGGATGTCAGTATAAGGCCAGAGGCAAATCTGAACAAACAAGTTTGTGGTTGTTTTTTTTTGTGTTTTTTTCCCCTTTTTGCGACAACGTTCTGAAGGAACAAATTCAGTGTCAGCCTGGGATCCCTCTGCTCTTGATCTGCTGCCAAGTTGATACATTGGCATTGTTTTTGACATTTTGCCTTTAGTGAATGGACAGCAAAGGTTCATGGGTCGCATTCGAACCCTGGCCCCTGCAGTAAGAACTCAACCTTGATATATGAGGCAGGTGAGCTACATGGACGTTACACTTTTTAGAAAAAAAATTGTCCTCAGGCAAGTATGTGAAAAATGCTTCTTGTGCTGTAGTCAGTTATTTACAGACTCAAAGCAAATGTATCATGATCCTTGGTGAAGTGCCACTTAAATTGCCTAAATACTTCCTAATTGGCCCTCAAAGTGCTGCCTTTTGGGTCCTCAAGGCAGAAAATGCATGGGTCTAGAAACACAAACACTCGTCCCCTGCTTAAGAGGGTTTTCTCATTACAACACTCTTAGAATGCGGTTGTATGAAATACGATTGATCCCCCACTCATCCATCATTCTATCCTCAATTCAACTTCCACATAAACATGTCACTGTGAGGCGTATCATCCGATGCACACTGCTTTTGCCGCTCACCTTGTGATAATGCGGTGCACCTGTTGACTGCCGTGTGGAACGCTGTTGTAGTGACAGATGTGCTGGTCAGTAGCACTCCCTTTGAATTAGGCATGCCTGACAGACGGCATTTTTGTCGATCTTGGTCTGTTTGCACATGTTCAGGCGTAGTTACCTTGGCTATATGTGGAGTGTTTACTCTGTGGAGAGCGGAAGATGTACCAAAAGGAGAAGGCAGAGAGGGAGGTGCAGGCTGAATCCTGGCGTATCAAATGCCGATGTGGCTCACGTGACGTGGCCATTGCCCCGTCAGTGTTGAATTAGAAGTATCTGTGCCATGTAAAAGCTTCCGTTTAACAGGGCACCTGTCAGGACAAGTTTGGCTATTTGTGGAAAAAGGTTGCATTGAACGGCATTATGACTTCTTCAATGTGATGCATGGTCTTTAGAAGCAGGATGTTGGAGTGGGACAGCAGACCGTACAGGATCAGTCTGAAGCGCAAATGGAAGAGTCGCTGCTAGTTATCGAGAGAAAAGGACTTTGATTTGATTGGACGAGACCATTTTGAATTCTGGTTCTGCACTGAGTGGAGTTTACCCCACTGCAGTCCACACTGCTGTATCATGACCAGCGTGTGAACCGACCACAATGTTGGCTTTATTAATCCAAGAGCCACTGTGGGCTGGGCAGCGCTGACAACCAGAGAATTCCTGGAATTTAGGCCTGGTCTAACACTGTTCCAGACACTACCGCCCCGTACTGGGGCATTATGTTTGTGTAATCAAACTATTAGAGATACAGGACCACATATAGTCACATGAGTGACTTGAAAAAGCAGTCTAGCTCGCTATGCAGAGGGTTTCTTATGATTTTATAACTACCCCATTTAAGGTTTGATTGTTTGTTTTTCACTATAAAGGATGTTCACTGAAAAGGGTGTCCTGTGATGCAAAAAAAACATTTGCTTCTTTACAAAATGTAAGGTAAAGCAATTTCGGATGATTATTGGGATAATATCGTGTATTGTTATTATTATAGCCAAGAAATGGGGACATTACATTTTCATATCGTCCCATGCCTACCAAGTACCAAAGGAGGTATTTGTTGTCAACTATTGTCCAGATTGAAAGGATTTCCGAAACAAATTGGTGTTGTCCCTAAAACGCTTTGCAGGTCCAAAAGCTGTTAAAGCTGCGTTTCCCAACACACAGTGTTGCGAGCGAATGGACCGTGTAGTGACCATATAATTAACAAATGTATATAAAAGCCAATAGTTTGCATTAGTTATAACCGTACTGATTGAGTGTCTATTAAACAGGTGCTTTTTTTGGTTAAGGAGAGCTTAATGTGCCTCCATCTCTGACATTTTGCCGGTGGACACACCTCTAAAGTGTTGGCTGTTAGTTGAAAGCTGCTTTGAAGCGTTTTGCTCAGGCCGGAGATGAGCATGCAGCCTACGGGACTCCAACTCCCTGCCCCAACAGATCCACACTGACTCTCCTCTCCGTGACATTACAGAGCACAGTAAAAATATGAATGGAAAGTTCTAAAGCTGGCTGGCATTTTTTGAGCAGTGACTACCTTTGATCTGTCTTTATCTCCCGATTTCCAGCCAAACATGGCGTTACCCATCAGGCAGCACTGCCAACAGGAAACATTCAGTAACGTTGTCCCGCACAATGAAGGCTTTGGGCGCTACGTCCCACAAACGGACACGCACGCCTCTGTGGCTAACGCTTCCACTTGGATAGCATGTTTCCAGTATAGCCGCTCGAATCCCTCACTAATGTGATAAGAGTGTATCAACTGCCACAGATAAGCTCTGTTTACACTGGCAAGCCACGTGGGAATGTGGGCTTCATTGTAGCTTGTGATAAAGGGCGATCCTGTTGCATGCCAACCATGCTGTCACTGCAGTGCCACTGTGTTTACCTACATTTACACAACAACAAATGCTTTGCTGCTTACCCCATGTACACCGTTAACGTTGAGTGCTCCGTCTTATACGCGCCTGTGTGTCTTTCCACCACTTTCCAACCTAGGAGAAGAAATGCAAGCATTCTGCCCAGTTTGGAGGACTTGCTCTTCCACACAGTCGCAGATGGTCAAGAGACGATTCCTGCCCATAAATTTCTCACAGTAAGTGCTTCAAGTTCAGTTCAGCGTGATGGTTGGGGCTAATGTCACAGCATTGATAAGTACATTAACACCAGATTGTCTCCTCACTTTTAATTGATTCTTTTGCATTGGCCCTGTTCAGACCTGGCATCACATGTGGACAGCGACGGTGACATGAGATATACAGCTGCAGTAGTATAGCTTACAGGCCTGTATGTATGTATGTATGTATGTATGTATTGCTGTTGCTGTCACCCAAGGTGCATGTTAATGCCATGTCTAAACAGGGCCATTGTTTCTATTCAGAGGTGTTTCTAAATACTCTTCAATTCTAGGCGCTTAAAGCCACGGGGCTTCGCTCTGGAGATCCCAGACTGAAGGAATGCATGGACACCCTCAAAGAAACTCTAAGGAACACATCAGATGGCGTTACGCTGGACAGGCACCTATTCAAGAAGTAAGGCGTGGCGTGTCTGTACACCATAGTGGCACTTTGTTTTTTTGTTTTTTACGATGTTTCCAAGAACCGTTTAGTCTCTTCAGCCTCAAAAAACATTTTGATGACAGTATTTATTATCAGCAAATTCATTGAAAAATGGCATCCATTAAATTCTGAGAAATGCACTTTCATTGCAATATATTCTATATGTAGATCTTTCTTTTCCTGAACACAGTAAGAATGATATCAATAGATGTGACGTAAGGTCATGTAACTATAAAGTGCCCAAAGATGTGTTTTTTCCGTTATCATTACATTACATACTTGGTCAAAGGAAACTCCAGATTGCGCTCATTTGAAAATCCCCAACCTCCCTCCTTTCTTCCAAATACTAGTAGAAGTCAATAGATTTCTGTCTACCGGATGATGAGCTTTAATTTACTTTCACTTCTTCTAGTGTGTGTTGTGGTCACAAACTGAGAAAACCACAACACATTAAGGCTTAAGGAGAAGTTTGTCCTCAGACTCATTTGTCCACAGAGGCGCGCTCCACTTTTCTTAATTCTTTTGACCCTAGCAGTAACCTAAAACGTGAGCATCAACATGTTCCCGAAACCCTCGGAGAACGTGGTTTTGGTCATTGACACAACATGAGTAGCTATATGGATTCATGTTGGACAACACTATATGGATAAAAAGCAGCTGATCAATATGTAATGGTGAAGCCTCTTCATCAGCCACTTTTATGAACATTCACAGAAGTTTGTCACACTTCACGGTTGTCCAAACTTGGTTGACAAACTTTTCCTCCAGTTGCATGCAGTCACAGTGTTTTAGCATGCTGTCTGTGGTTTATTCATCAGGTGTGTCCAGAGCAACATTGTCCTGCTCACTCAGGCCTTCCGCAAGAAGTTCGTCATCCCAGACTTCCAGTCCTTCACCTCCCATATTGATGAGCTGTATGAGAGTGCCAAAAAGCTCTCTGGAGGACAGGTGTGTCCTTAGATCCATGACTCTTTTCTTTTTCTTTTTGCTTCTCCCAGTGCATCATCATGAATCATTTAGCCTGCACAGATTCATCACCATCACTCTGTTTTAACAGTCTGGTTTCAGTCTGCAATCAGCTGGTATCAATGGTGTACATCAGTCCTTGATTACAGATCCAGCAGCACCCTGATCTGATTGAAAACCACCGTATTGCCATCTTACACCTAAAGGAAAAATCCGACCCAGAATATGTATTAAAAAAAAGATCGTAGTGGTTTTCCCCCAGCAGCCGTGAGCGAGCTGCCTTTTTCACACGTTGGTGCAAGAGTCTCTTTGGCAGCCAGTTTCTGTGTGTTGAGTGAAGTCATTTTAGATTTTAGCTACCAGAATGTTCACACATTTAAAGACAGGAGAGCAGCAGACATAAGTAAAGAGGGCTGATTCTCAAATTGTATGAACCTCCCACAGTGAAACTCGCAGCTCTCAGTTGAAAAGTATCCGGTACATGGGATTCCTGCTCCCAAGGCCAACAGAAGTGTCTGTATTTGCAGAAACAGAGAACTTTTTCACGGTAGACATTTTGAGGCTAGCGGCAGGTCCTGAGTCTATTAACTCCAACGGGAGAAGTTAGGGTGAATACAGCACATGACAATGTTTTTCACTGCAGAGTCTCCAAAGTAAATATTGGACCCACTTTTCACAAGCCACATATCTTCCAAACATTCTGACATGAAGTGGCCTTTTTCCAGACAGACAAATCAGGACCTTCCTCTTTCTCAGCAACATATGCTGAACTGTGCATCACAGCCAATGAGAACAACATCTTTCACAAAATCATTGTTTTAAAATATCAAAAACAGTAGCTTAGTGTGGATGTACTGAAGCATAGAAACACAATATATGAGAAAATTGAAATATATGGGAAATTACTTGCTGTACTTTTAGTTGAAGGAGATAGAAGGCACAAAGTAACTTCCCTTTGACAGGGTATGTGAGGGTGAATTTTTCATCTCCGGTCAACAGATGAGGAAGTTGTTATTTTGCGTTGCCAGTGGTGTTCGCTTTCCATTGAAACCTGAGCCTCAGCAGACGTCAGCTGTGTAATGTGAACCGCTGCTGCGCCGGCAATCTTTCAGCTGCCTTGCCTCTCTTTCAGGTTGCCGACTATATTCCTCAGCTTGCCAAGTTCAGCCCGGACCTGTGGGCCGTCTCCCTGTGCACAGTCGACGGACAGAGGTGAGACACCAGAAGTATTACAGCGGCAATGTGATGTTTTTTAAATGTTTGTGTGACATTTCTCAGTTACCATTACAATGGCAGCTCTGTGCTGTGGTCATTCCTGTGTGGGATCACTGAGACCCTGTAGGTTACATAATTGCCTCCAGTGGTGTCAGTGAGGAATGCTAACAAGTTGTGATTTAGAGAAACTATTCATAATGTGTATTAGTAAAACATTCCGTTTCTAACTGTCTAATAAAATCTCTCTTTAGTTTGTAAAACATGTTTTAACCTGAAGGGCCACATGATGATGAGACACAATATTTGACTCAAAATATTGATTTAAAAATGCTTTTTTTCTTTTCTTCTGCTCGCTGTGTACGGAGATCAGAGCTGAGCCTGAGCAAGGGCGTGTGATTCATACCAGCGGTCTGCTGTACAGAAATAACACACCCTAGAATTGGCTAATCAGAATCAAGTATTCATTAAAGGCATGTAACAATGCTTAATAAATGTTTCAGACAAGCGTCAATCAAACTTTATGGTTTGATTTATTGCAGGGCGTTGCATTATAATATACAGGTGCTTGGCCTCATATTTCCCAGTAAAGACGAAACTAACAGATAAATTCCAACGTATGAGGTAGTATAATGATGTCCGCAGGTGTTTTGATCAGCTTGTTCTCTGATAGACTCTTGTAAATCGACCAAGGAGTGTATACATTAATTATGTTTGTGTAAGAGAGGATGTCATAAAGATAACATGGTACTGAACTGATTGTGTTATCACGCTGGAACGCTCCGTCACTGAAGTTTATGGATTTCCACCAACACCAACATTATTCTATGAAATTGTATCTTCTTCATAAGTATTTACTTTATAATGTTTTTCATTCTGAATACGTTGTTTCTCATCACTGAAATTTTATTACAAATAAAAGATTTACCTTTATTTAGACGGGATGGTCCCATTGAGATTTAAAAGCTGTTTTCCAAGAGGCTTCTGGCCAAAATAGCAGCATGAAGGATTTGCATATAAACACCAACAGTAAACGGTTTAAAACTTAAAACAACAGCAAATGACATCAATGAGTTGGCAGTGTCATTCTTGTACCAGGACAGGTACAGTCAGTGTTCAAATAGTCCTTGATCCTTAATGTTGATTGGCATCTGTTGTCTTCCGTAGGCACACAGTCGGAGACACCAAGGTCCCCTTCTGTCTGCAGTCCTGTGTCAAGCCTCTGAAGTACGCCGTCGCTATTCACGACCACAGCACAGAGTACGTGCACAGTTTCATTGGGAAGGAGCCCAGTGGCCTGCGCTTCAATAAGCTCTTCCTGAATGACGATGGTGAGCGTTTAGTTTTCTCCTTCCATCTGTTTATTGCATATTCTTCCGTCTGTGAGCTTATCTTCTGTCCGCGCACACTTATCAGCCCACACACACACACACACACACACACTATCGTTTCTCCTCAAAATGTTGCGGTGTTGAGTGCTACTGCACTCTGCTTTACTTCTGTTGCCAAACTCTGTGCGCACACTTACTGACGTCATCGTTGTTTACAAACTGCAAAATGGGTCAACAAGAACTGGAATAATTTGTTTTTAATGTGTTGAAATGCATTCAATACTCTTCTTCAACAGGATTCGTATTGTAGTCACCGTTGTCAAACGGTCAGTTTTGCAGGTGTGTGGCACAAAGCTCGGTTTAGTTCCTAACACAACAGCAGACACTAAGTGAGGACAAATATGCCAAAACACTTTGTCACCTGCCATGTTATGTACGTGCCAAAACCTACAAACATATCAACACAAACACTTGGTTATGTGCCATGTCAAACAAAACTATAGATTAAATAAGTCCTGCTGCTATTTCATATGTACTTTTCTTAAAGTAGTTGTTTTTTATCTGTTGTATCTTGAGTCAATGTGTGCTCTACATGTACAATATTTGATTGTCATTGTTTGACCGGTCTATATACACAGCTCTCAGTTCCTCTACAGCACTCTAACGGAGGTCTTGTTGTTTTGCAGATAAGCCCCACAACCCCATGGTTAATGCTGGCGCTATTGTTTGTACTTCACTGATTAAGGTAAAAGCAATAACACTTCTCCCTCTCCGTTCTTCATGTGTGTTTTTATGTCCAGTCTGTTCGTCATTTCCACTGAAACCGTAGCGATATAATTCCTGTATGGTGGGTATTATTGAGCTGCTTTATCGAGTAAATAAAATCAAGCTTAACATAATTATTGGCAGCAGATACAATTTGACTTTTTAACAGTGGCCCAATTAACCTACATTTGTTTGAACACAATGAAACCCACTCACAGTAATGCAGTGTTTTGCCAATTTAACACCATGTCCACGCTTGTCAGACCTTTTCTTTTTTTTTAGTTATTATGTGGTGGTATTGTTACTTACTCAGTAGACTATAGACTTCCCAGTGTGTGCAGATATTTATGACTCTTGACTCAGCTGGGATCATTTCTAGGTCACTACGTTAAGTCCACTGACGTGTCTTATTGTGGTGATTAAGACTTGTGCTAATCCTTCCTGAAGGCACTTAGCGAGCCCCAGAAAACTCACACACACTGTTACTGGCCCTGCTGAAAATAACCTGGATGGAGAGCTAGTCAAATGCAGCTGCACGCAAACCTGCACCCAGTCTGCGATAAGACCTCACCTGCCACAGCTCCTCCCATTTTGTGACCAAAGTCTGGTGTTACACTGTTTGAGTGTCTCCTGGGTAACTCGGCGTGAAGACAGATTGACAGAGAGTTAGGAAATGAAACGTCCATCAAATCAAACAAGCTGCTGTTGTTCTAAGTATCTTCAGCATTATATAAAGGACCCTACAGAGGAATACAATGATTTTCTTTCTATTGGTGGTTGTGACTGCGATCGCCCTCTGGACCAAGTTCAAAAACAGTATTTGTCACATAGACACAAAAACAATAGGGTCCGGATTGAAAAATATTGGAAGTTACCCTTTAAATACCAGCCTAGTCCATTCGGTTTGATTATTTACCTCCTTACAGCTGTTAATGTTCTCAGGTTTGATGTTTAACTCGTCAACCTAACCAGCCTCTCTTTGAATAGTTAGTGCTAGCAGTGAATAATTAAGAATAATTGTCTCATGGACACACACTCGTACATGAGTTGTGTATAAATATCTTCTTACGGATGCAAGAGTCAATCAAAGATGTTTGATGTTTCTTTTTGCTGTGTTGAACTGTACATTCTTTTTTTTCTTTTTTTTTTTACACATTCCCTGTTAATTGCTTCAAAACTCTCAACGCCAAGGACATGTATTTGACTGTAGCGTTTTCTGGAGATGACCTGATGTTATGTCAAGCTTTTGTCCAAAGTACTTTAAACTGAATTTGTAATCATTATTGATTTTTTTAAGAAACGATGTGCTACCAAAGCTTGGAGATGGGATTACTATTATTAAGTTGTTTTGGGGGGGGGAGGAAGCAATCTAGAGAGGGAATTTAATGAAATCCTTCACAGAGTAATTAAACTGTAGATGATGCCAAAATCATCCACTATGTTTGACAAAGCATGCTGAAGCATGTGGCCTGTTTGATCTTGATCTGATTTTGGACCTCTAATACTCTCAGGGTCTGGGACCTGTGTGTTTTCAGTGTCCATGTTGTTAAAATCACATTGCTTTTTTTTTTTTTTTTTTTTTTCACCTGTGATTGTTGAGCATTATCACCATGCAAACATAACCCTAGTCAACTTAAATATAGTTAGCCTAATATTCTGTCTGTTGACAGGGAAATCCTTCAGACACATTGGCATTTATTTGCAATTTTAGCCTTTTGAGATTAAATATTGTGCTGTTGTTTTTCCACAACAGCAAACCAACATGCAGCCACTTGAACTGGGGTCGATGATGGTAGATTTAAATAAGTGGAACAAGTGGTTTTACTCTCTTAATCCCAATAACTGCAATTTCTCTATAGTATACAACAGACAACAGGTGCTGTCATTGAGACGCATATTTCAGTTTTTGTTGCTGTTGTCACACAACTGCTCAACTTAAACAGGTTTGAAGTCACAAAATACTAAGTCCCGGATTTATAGTTGTTTAGCCAGTTAGCATTCTGTCACCTCGTACAAAGTGTGTTCAATGGTTTACTGCAATACACACAAGTGACCACAGACAGCAGTGGGAAAGTTTACTTTTGGTTGTAGTTTAACAGTTCTTAATAAATTAACGATAAGACTACACTCCTTAATTTTGTATCAGCAAATCGCTATCTGTAATGTCAAAGGGTTTGGTTTTAGTGAAAAACGCACAAGGGATTATCACCCATCTCTGCAGCTTCCCACATTTGTAGTTTTTTTTTTGACATTGTTTTGGTTAAATGGCTTGCAGCTCTACTGTTTTGATCACTTTCTCAGCTCTCATTAATGTTGCTTTCCGCCGCGTCAGGAAAAGGTGTTCAGCAAACAACTGTACATTGTATTCCTTGGTAACAAACAGCAGACGGATAACGTTAGCAACTAGCTGGTGAAAGGGTGGAGCATTAAGCAGCTAAAGAGCCAGACATTTCCCTCTGGAGTTGATAGAGAGCCAAAACCAGAGCTAAACAAAGAGTGGAAAATTAAGCTTACATTCCTCGGGTGGTCAGAAATATGAACCTACATTAATGCTAATGTAACTTTGCCCCATTTGTGTGTTTGGTTACACATTCGACCAAGTGGCAAAAATGGCCGCTTTTAAGTACGAAGCTGGAGTCCGGACATGCTTAGCTAGCTTAGCAAAAAGACTGAAAACAGGGGGACGCCAGCTAACCTGCTGGTCGGTGAGCACATGTTATGGTTTTGGTCTCGACACGGGCACAATGATACCAAACCTGACGCACTTACAATCAGACTTGTTTTTGAAACCAGAGGTGTCGCCCCTTGCTGGCCATTAGAAAGATTGCAAGTTTGGTTGGCTTCACTTTTCAGAGCTGGAGGTTGCCACCTGAATGAGACTGAGAGAAATGTTCTTCTTGCACACGGCCTAACAGACACTCCATTGGCTCCATTAGTCTGTTTATAAACAGACATTATGTTAATAACGCTGTCATGTTGCTTATTACTGATGCAATAAAAGTGATAATGGATTTAGCGCTGTGACGCCATCTTCTCAGGTTGCTGATGTAGGCTACTTTTTGAATTTGCCAGACCAGGTCGTAACGACAAATGTCTCTGGTTTGTCAAAATCAATCCGGTTTCAGCTCGTACACCGGACCAGACTGGCAAAACCAAAACCTCTCCTTCCATCACATCACTCCCTCTAAAGAAATTGCAAGGTGCGCAATACAATGTCTTAATTAGTGCCTTGGCTTTAGCATGCCTAGGTGTGTTTTTGAACTTGGCATAGAGCTAAGCTTGCCGCTTCACCCTGCTTCAGTCCTTATGCCAAACTAGCTAAACACGCTCTTGATCTTTTCATCTCACTCTCTGAAGGAAAGCGTATAAAATGTTGAACTACTTCTTAAACATTGCTGGCAGTGGTGCGAGTAGATCTTTACTGCGCTAAGATGAAGCAGAAGAACATCCACTGTATTTTTTAAAATAATTTATTACCAGAAATCTACTTGTTTTATTCTTTGAAATGCCACATCCAGTAAGCTCCCCCTTACGTAGGCAACTCAGGAGCACTTACGGTAGCTGAGCTCCTGTACTTACAATAGTCAAATCAAACGGGTTTCCACCAGTTCCTCTTTGATTTACAATATCGTGTGACGGGGCTTCTCCTCCATCCTGTCATAACCTGTTCAACTGCCTTCTAGACGAAGACAACATCACATTTGACGAGACAATCATGTGTGTCCGTGTCCACATCCGCTCACCATTGTCATCAGTGTCTCAATGTGTTGTTTTTTTCATTTTTTCTATACTGAAGTGCAAATGTCAAGCCGTTGATCATGTCGCCCAGTTTGCTTTAACCCCGGTGGGAAAACTATGGGATGGTTGCCGTGGCAGAATGCCCCAAACTGTTGTTACATGGTGCTTGAAGGCTACATGTTGTTGCTGTTTTTGTATGTTGTTGCATATTTTCCAGACTTAGGAACTGTGGGAAATAATGACTGCTGCTGCAGGTCAAATGACGTTGGTAATTTTTTCTTCCTTTTCCATATCTATCTCCTCGCATTCTCCCAATCCCCTGACCCCCCCCCCCCTCTCTTCTCTCTTTCTCCCTCAATCAGCTGTGTAGAAACCCCATTTAGTGACTCTTTAACACCTCCATCCGTGTCAATAACTTTTTTTTTACTGCACAGTAAAGTGTAGAATTTTTAAAAACGTGCTGTCAGTCACACATGAAGCATTTGCATTTTTAAATGTAAAGTTAATCTTGTCACACCATCCACATCATAAATTGTTCAGTATTTTTATTATTGGCAACTAATGCTATAGTATAGTATGTGCATGCGAATGTCTATATCTATATATATATATATATCTATATCTCTATCTCTATCTATATATATCTATATCTCTATCTATCTAGATATAGATATAATTAATTTTTTTTTTTTTTGTTGCTGTGTTTTCTTTGGTGTAATAGTTAGCATCAATGAGCATGCAAAATGTACACTGAGCTACAGTACAAGCTGTGGATATATTCCTCAGAGGAAGACCATTCCTCCCTTTGTTCCCTTCCCTCTGTTTTGGCTGACAGGCTCTTTGCACATGACACATGTTGACCTACAGTAGACACACATCCTCAAACACACCTGCATTATGGTAACCCATAATACAAACATGCGTTCATACACCCATGTGTATTTTATGTAAAAACATACACGCAGTCGGAGCTGCTTCAGATTTTGAAAAATTGTCTTTTTTTTTTTTTTTTTTTAACACTTCAGACTTGAAATAATAATTTTAATTAAAATAATCATTTTGGAATCGGTGCGATGGCATAGTGAGACATGTCTTTTTCTTTAACTGGCTAAGCTCTGGTAATGCACATGTCTACTAAAGTACTCCCTTTCAACTCAAAAAGACCTCCTTCTTTGTAACCTATTTGCAAGCTAATCTTATTAATATTTTGTATCTACCTGTTTAATTCTTGGCAAGTAACAAGCTCATGTGATTTTTACATTTTGTTTGTAATAAAAATCTATTCATGTCTTTTCTAATTCCGTAGTTTGAATTTGTCAGCATTATCATCTTAGTATAATCTTTTTCTGATGTTGTGCTTGTCCTCTGCTACATCCTTTGCTGGATGAACTGTACTGACTGCTTATTCACTTGTTCTCCCCTCAGCAAGGTGCAAGCAACGCTGAACGATTTGACTATGTAAGTATTAGAGGTCAGACCTGGTCAATCATTGAAGTCAGAAGTAGTCTGTTAACTTTCATGATCTTTGTGAAGAGTCCATGTCTAGATGACTAGGCACTGTCTTTATTACTTAGTTGTATTGTTTATTTGATTTATCTCTTTAGAGATTCTAATCAAGTTAATTAGCTGTGACCAATTTCTTACTACACAGGGATTCTAAGAAGTGTTTGAGTGTTAATGTGTTTGCACCAGAAAAGTGACCCAATAGTATACTCAAAAGAAAAGAACAAGCTCTAATAAACCACTACCTGCTCACCACCAAACAGCAGACAGACAAAGTGTCTAGCTGGTGGACATAGTGGAGCATTTAGCAGCTAAAGAGCCAGATATTTCCCTCAGGAATTGGCGGAGACCCAAAACAGACCTAAGAGAGTGAATACTAAGCCAACATTCCTCAGGTGGCCAGAAACACAACTCCAAATACTTGTTGTTCTGTAACTGCTGAATGTGTAAATAAGAAACTGTAAACAAGTTTGCCATATCAACTTAAAAGATGATGTGTTAGTGTTCCCCCTTTTTTCTCCTTGGCCAAAAAAAAATCAGTATATGTTTATGTTGAGATCGCTCGAGGAAGATCCCTGAAGAATGAAACTACTAAAAGCTAAATCTGGATACTGTGACACTGGTGTGTGTATATGTATATGTATGTATG